GTTGAGTACAATTTTTTTTCCTAACAGCTTTACTGAGGTACAGTTTATATACCATAAATCCACCCATTTTAAATGTACAATTCAATGACTTTTAGTAAATGTACAGTGCTGTAAGATGATCACCACAATCCAGTTTTAGAACACCTCCATTATAAGCACAATTCATTTTAAAGAAGTCTCTTTTGTCATATGTGAGCTCCTTCTAGTTTAGTAGTTTAAAAATTCTAAAATCAAAAGAAGCTCAACATTGATACTTGGACCCAAAAAATTAGAAAGATCATAAAATGAAAATTCAGTAATGTACACTATCCAACTAGAATAAATTGAAGTCAAATGAAATATAAACAACAGATCTGTTATCTTATGGTAACATATTCGCTGCCTACAGAGAGCTTACAAGAAAAGGGAATTCTATGTCCCTTCCACAGCAAATGACAAGGACCCAAATAAGGAAACTGAGTTGCTATTCAACAGAAAAATCACAAATGTTCAACATACAATATTCAGTTTAATAAGAGTTACCATTATGAGTTCAGCAGATACTGCTGCCTGTCAAGGCAGACACAAATTCAATCTCACTTAATTTTTTTCAGAGTAGTACAACTTAAATGAAACATAGAAAATATTTTTAAAAATAATTCACATACCTGATTTCTTTGGAAACAGAAATTACAGGCCCAAAGTTTTGCCCGATAATCGACCTGACTGTGAGAAAAATAATTATAACTAGGTGACATTTTCATTTTTAATGTAGAAAGCATTCAAATGTAAACTTCAAGTTTAGTAAATCAAATAGACATGTTTCTGTGTGGGTGCGTGAATGGAGGAAGGTATGCAAAACTTTCACTGCAGCTAGAGTTCTGGCTGTTAAGTACAACAAAATTTTCCTTCAAACAGCAGTAGTGAGGGCCGGCCGAGTGGCTCAGTTGGTTAACAGCGGGAGCTCTGAGCAACAGAGTCACTGGTTCAATTCCCACATGAGCCCGTGAGCTGTGCCCCAGCTGAGCTGCCGCTGAGCTGCCAACAGGTGGCAGGATGGCTCAGTGGTTATAGTGTGCGCTCTTAACAAGGTTGCTAGTTCAACTCCCATGTGGGATGGTGGGCTATGCCCCCCGCAACTAAGATTGAACACAGCACCTTGAGCTGAGCAACTGTGAGCTGCCAACGGGTGGCCAGATGGCAACCAGGCTTGGAGCTGAGCTAGCTGCGCCCTTCACAACTAAGATTAAAGGACAACAACTTGCCTGTTCCCCTTCCCCAATTCCCCAACAGTTTCCCTTCCCCAATAAAATCTTAAAAACAAAAACAAAACCAGCAGTAATGAGAAATTAGTAAATCCTTTCTTTTCTTTTACAATTTCCTAGATATTTTAAATGTCATGCTTTATATAAATTATAGGTTACTTCCTTTTGCCCTGTTATCTTATCATAGTCTTAGGAAAACTTCCCAGACATTAACCACACTTAGCACACTTGAAGAAAATTTAGGTAGGTATGATTCTGGGTTGATACACTTCCTAGAACTAGTTCAAGATACCTTAGTTGCTTTTTCTACACTTTGTACCTTTATAAAATCAATAATCACTGGCTATTATTTTAAAAGGGGACAAGTGGTATCTTATATATGGGCACATTAAGTAAAAGTGAGGAAATGAAGTAAAAAATTTTCCCTCTTTATAAAAAATTATCTTTTAAAGAGTATTTATGACACTCTTCACCTATTTAATAATTCTTTCAAATAGTGCACACATTTAAGAGAAAAATATAGGTCACTATCTCAGGGGTGAAAAAAGATTACACTTAATAAAATCATTAGGAATTAAAATTTCTTCTATTACAACATCACCATACTAGGGACATATGAGAAAACTGTCTATAAAGCTTTTGGATTTGGGGGGAAAATGCTTTAAAAGGCACCAATAAAATCTACAACTGAGTGAATACCAAATACAAAGTGAAAATCAGGGGAAAAAAAAAACAGTGGATTTCAAATCCTTTCTCTCTACCTTCATTTCATTCCCATAAATTCTAATTTTATCTGGAGTATTAAGCCAAGGAGATTCTACAAGCACTCATCAACTAACACTCTCACCATCTACTAATCTCAAATTTGATGACTTGCCCAAATTCACTTATATGAGAATCACAGAAATGTCATATTTTATTGTATTCATCATTTTTACTAGTGTTTAAAGAATTCATACCAAAGTGGATTGAGAATGGCTTTGCAAGTTGGCCTGCTGCAAAGCACAGGTTCATACTGTACAGGTGGCAGGTCTGGACGTTCTTTCAAAGGTGTAAGGAGACAAGCCAGAGGAACAACCATTCTGGTAGCCTCCAGGCGGCTGGAAGGCCACACATTCCAACTAAAACGCACACCATCTCGTTCTTCATTGTGCTGAATGAACTCCAGATACGTTGTCATAGTCTGAAAGAAACTGAAGATCAAGTTTTAATTGTGTGTGAAATTCTCAACTAAACTTCAAAGATAAAAAGGTCACCTAACAAAATGTTTCTTAAACACTTAATCTGGAAAAACCTGTCACTGTAGGACAACAACATCTCCCATCCCTCTGACTGCCCCCAAAAGCTGATTAACTTCAGTTATTTCTGACTACTGTTAATTTCTCTACACTCTCTAGCACTTAAAATAAATAAATAAATAAATAAATAAATAAATAAATAAATAAATAAATAAATAAAAGGGGCAGGAGGTTTATAATCATTTGATCATCTCTAAGCTTCATGTAGTTGAATACTAATTTAAACCTCCTCATATCATCTCACCATCTCAGCCAACCTAATTTTGGCCACTTGCCCAAGGGTAAGTCTCAAACCCCATTTCAGCATCTAGCTATCTTCCTTCCTGATCTGGTTCCTTCCTTGCTCTACTAAAGAAAACACTATTTAATTTTACTTCCCAAGTGATCAATTTTGTGCCCTTTCCCTTCTCCCTTCACTAACAGTGGAGAAAAGAACTGAAAACTGATGTGGGAATCCAATTCATAACGGGAACAGCCACCAGTTCTGAGCAAATTTCTACTTGGGATCACCAAAATTACAAAGGAAAGTTTGCTCTTATGCCAAGTGAGTTCCTCACCAAAACCTCTCTCCTCACTATGGTTTGTTATGCCCGTGCCTTGAAAGATTTCAGTTAATAAAACAGCCATTCAGACAGCTTTTCAAACCTGTATATCGCCAACTTCACTGACTGTTTTATACATCCTAAAATCTAAGCTAACACACCTCACCCATTAGTGTCCAAGGGGACAAGCCACTCAAGAAAAAGGCAAATTAAATAACCTACAATATTACTGGCTTCTAGTACTCATTTCATACAATGCTGAATATTGTCTCTAGGTTATTATGAGAAGTGCCATGTTGTAAATAATTTGGACTATGATAATATAGCTAGAAAAGCAAATTAATGAATTACTACTCTACTACACACAAGCCAGACCACAAAAATTCCAAATGTTTGCTCCATCTGAAACATAAGGCATGTATTTATTTCTTGCAAAAGCAGGGAACTGAAGCACTATGTACACAGAAGGCATTTCTGCAGCTTTCTGGGTGGCAAAGAGATAACTCAGGTGGGAATGAACGCAAGTTCTAATATCACAATTCTCAGCAAGTACCTCAGCAGGCTTCATTAAATGGCTGCTTCCTCTCTCAAAATAGCTCATTATCAAAAGGTACAGGCTCTATCCAATGTCCTCTACAACCTATATATTAAAACCTGCTCTCCTGTTTCCCAATGCCCCTTCCCCTCACCACTTGTAGTGCATGGAGTCTTAACTCTGGGCACATAACCCACAAAGGACTTCAGACGATCAATAAATCCTCTGAAACTTATGTAAAATGTTGTGTATGAGAGTGAATGTGCACTTTTCTAGAAAGATGGGTCTATGGCTTACATCAAATTATCAAAGGAGAAGGTTATCTGAAGAGGTTAATAACTGAATGA